GTGAGTGTGAAAGAAGGATCCCGAGGAAGAAAGGGGAGGAAATGCCCGGCCGGCGTGGCTCAGTGGTTGAGCATCGACCTATGAACCAGGAGGTCAATGGTTCGATTCCCAGTCAGGGCACTTGCCTGGGTTTTGGCTCGATCCCCAGTGTGGGGTGTGCAGGAGGCAGGCAATCAATGATTCTCTCTCATCATTGACATTTCTCTCTCCCTCTCCCTTCCTCTCTGAAATCAATAAACGCATATTTTTATAAAAAAATAAAAAAGAAAGAAAGGGGAGGAAATAATGGGACGTGAGTGGGAACGGGCTCCTGTGGGGGTGGTTTGAGTATCGCTCACCTGAGGCCCCGAGACACAGCAGGCAGAGGGGTGGCAGCAGCAGGAGGCTGGGTGATCTGTGCAGGGCCCGCCGACTGTCCACGGCCCCCATCGCCTGCGTGGCCGCCCGTCTGCCGCGGAGCCTGCCCGACTCTCGGGCTCCGTCTCCCCAGGCAAAGCCCGCGGGAAAGATGGGGTCCTGGCTCGGGTTGCCAACCTCAGCCCTCGGCACCTTCACCCCTGCTCTCCTGTTACCTCCCTGCCCCGATTACGGGTGAATTATTTACCAGGTGATTCACTCCATCCATAATGCAGGAGGCAAGGGCCCCCGGTGCAGCGCTCCTGACCGGGGATCCGAGGTTCAGACTCCCCCCGCCCGGGGCCTTCTCGCCCTTCTCGCCCTCCGCTCGCCTCACTTCTTGTTAGAAGCACGTGGACCCTGGCGGGAGCTCTGGAATCCGGTTTGGGTTTGACCGGTGAACTGTGGAACTTCGGGGTATTTTTGAGCCTCTCCCAGCTTTCGTTTTTTTCACAGAGAAATGGAGAGAAAACTCTTTCTAGTAAAGATGATTGTGAATATTAAATGAAAAAACTTATATTAGCATAAGGGGGCTTCTTGGGTGCTAGTAAGTCCTATTTCTTGGCTTGAGCAGGGGTTACCGTTCATCAAGCCATACATTCATTTGTATATACTGTTCCATATGCTTGATAAAACACACACACACACACACACACACACACACACACCACACCTGAGCAATGCCAGTGTGTAGTTGGTGTACCATCAGGCCTGTTCTATCTGGATTTGACCTACGAAGTCTGGACCCTGAAGCTGACATCCTCCTGACCAGGGCTCTGAATCCCAGCTCTCTCCTCCTCCTTCTCCTCCTCCTCCTCCCCCTCCTCCTCCTCCTCCTCCTCCTCCTCCTCCTCCTCCTCCTCCTCCTTTTCCTCCTCCTCTTTCTCTTCTTTCCCCTCCTCTTCCTCCTCCTCTTCCTCTTTCTTCCCCTCCTCTTCCTCTTTCTTCCCCTCCTCTTCCTCCTCCTCCTCCTCCTCCTCCTCCTCCTCCTCCTCTTGATATCCTGCTGCCTTAGCGCTCTTTGCATGACAACTTGAGATGAGGTCAGAGTTTTCCATCCTCTGGCAGCAGGTAGGGAGGTAGGGAGGTAGGGAGGTAGGGAGGTAGGGAGGTAGGCAGGTAGGGAGGTAGGGAGGTAGGCAGGTAGGGAGGTAGGGAGGTAGGGAGGTAGGCAGGTAGGGAGGTAGGGAGGTAGGGAGGTAGGCAGGTAGGGAGGTAGGGAGGTAGGGAGGTAGGCAGGTAGGGAGGGAGGGAGGTAGGCAGGTAGGGAGGTAGGGAGGTAGGGAGGTAGGCAGGTAGGGAGGTAGGGAGGTAG